GGAAATGCTTAGAGGGTTGTCATCTAGAAGGTCCTAGATCCTGCCAAGGTGACAGTCAATATTCCCACCCCAGGGCGCTTCCAACACCTGAGGCTTGGGTCCTCTCCCCTTCCCAGCGCACCTTCCTTCCCTCTCTGCTGGTTTTGCTGGTGGGTGTGTGGGGGAGAGGGAGCTCAAGTGCTTGAGGACCTTCCTCTGCAGTTCTAGATTGGAGCTGGTCAAGGGTGTAGGAGAGCCCCAGCTGACTGTGTGCCGGAGGCCTAGGCAGCTCTTCCCCTCGCCTGTCCCCACCGTCTGTGATGCCGTCACCTCGCATCAGGCAGGCACTCTTCTCCTGAGGGCAGGGATGTGGGGCGCCGGAGGCCCTCTGACGTAGCATGCAGAGGGTGATTCTTCTAGGGAGCTGTCACTCCTGACTCAGACTTTTCCAGATGGCTTGCTTGGCATTTCTAGTCGCCCTAGTTGAAGTAAATATTTGCAACAAACCCCTGCCATGTCGTTCCCCAGACTGTTAATATTTGGTTTGAGGTACTCGCAGAGGTTCATGTTTATGACATTTACAGAATGAAGGCTTGTTCACTTACGGCGGTTGTAATTTGCCAGCTCTCCTCCCGCACATGCGTCCCCCCTTCTGTTTACCGGGTTTATCCTCTGAGAATCCTGCTCACATGGACCCTTAGAAAAAACCCTGGTGTGAATGCAACCATGAGGACCCCACAGTTAATGCAAAAGTAGAAGGTGTTTGTTTTTGGTGTTTCCTTTTTTTTCTACTTCAAATTCCCTGCCTGTGGATTCAAATGACAGCCACTAACTAGGTAATGATCTTGGGATTAGCTGTCCACAGGGGAAGGATTTAGCCTCCTGCTGAAAACAGTGCAGCTATGTTGATGCTGCTGTGGGAAAGGCCCACAAGCCATGTAGCTGTCTTCTTTCTAATATTTTTTTTTCCAAGTAAAAAGATTGGGTAGAAAGGTTCCTGTGGTTCATTACGATCAAGACAGATTTTTGAGGCAGGAACTCACATAGCCTGGTCTGACCTTGGACTCTTTTTAAAAAATATTTTATGTATGTACGTATGTGTGAATATGTGTGTCTATACATACACACACACACACACATATATTCGCATGTATACGCATGCTGGAGTATGTGTATAGCACGTGTGTGCTTGGTGCCCGGGGAGACCAGAAGAGGGCATTGGATGCCATGGAATTGAAGTTACAGCTGTGAGCAACCATGCAGGCCCTGGGAACTGAACCCTGGTCCTCAGCAAGAGCAGCCAGTGCTCTTCACCACTGCACTACTGTCTCTCCTGGCCTCGAGCTTCCCAAGTGATGAACTCTTTGATTATCTGTTTCTGGGTCTTCACTTCTTCTCAGAATTTAGCAGAAGAGGCGTGGGGAAATAGCCCGGTCGGCGGAATCCGCGCCTGGGATGGGTGAAGCTCTGGCCGGGTCTAGGGTGATGTAAACTGGGTGTGGTGGTGTGTGCCGATGACCCAGCACTTAGGAGGAGGAGGAGGGTTAGAAAGTCAAGGTAATACTTAGCTACATAGTGAGTTTGAGGCCCAGCCCGGCCTACATGAAGCCCTGTCTCAAAAGATGAGGGTTATCTGTGAGCCTGTTTATTCACACACGTGCGTACATATTTGATGGTTTTGCCATCTCATCGCTGGCCACCTAAAAACATTAAATTGTATTTTGCGTTCCACCTCTACTTCGATCTCATAGGAAATAAGAAAGTTAGTGGCTGCTATGATTTTGTACTAAGCAACTTCTTAACATTAAAAAAAAAATCAATAGTCCCTTCACTGATCAGGTTTAAATCACATGGAGCGACGAACCTGGGCCGAGGCTTGTGCGTGTCGGGTCTGCGCCAAGTGTTCTGGGCACGCTACTGCTTCATCTTCACGGTGGCTTTTAAAGGTCAATATTATGATTCCTCTTTTAAAGATCAGGAAATTGAGGCTTAATGAGAACACTTAAATAACGCACCCAAGGTCACGTGGCTGCAGCGAAGCAGAGCTGGAGAAACAAAGGAGTGTCCAAGCCCAGGGAGTGTGCGTTCACTGGTCGGGAGTAAGCCCTCCCGTCAGTGCCTTTCTTCAGGCTCTTCACGCTTAGGCAAATGTACCCTGGTCACAGGACTAGGGAACTTGCCTCTCCCCTCCTCCACACTCCAGGTGAAAAGACGGGATGGGAGAGGACTGATGTGTCCTGGCTGCCGGTTGCCCGTTGCTTGCCCGGAAGGCACTGTTGGTGGGAATGTAAGTCAGTGCGGCCACGATGGAGCATAGTATGAATGCTCCTTTAAAAATTCAAAATTAGCACAGGATGGCAACAAAATAAAAGCATCCTATGATCATCTGTCCACAGAAACAGCCTTTAAGAAACGCCACAGCAGAGAGATCACAGTCCCTGCCTTTAGCTCTGCTTTCAGAAGACTCAATAAACACCTTAAAAACACAGAGACGAAAGTCAGTGCTTTGTCAGAGAAACGAAAGTGGTTCTGTAATCATACAGATCTTTGCATTGGAAAGCACACTAAACGAGGTGAAGACCGCAGCAGAAGACGTACCTAGTGAAACAGACAAGCAGAAGACGCGGTGAGATGGGAGACAGGCCCTTAGAAAACGCACGTGTGAGGTGTCAGCGGGTGCTCCGCCACAAACGGGGCCCGTGTCACACTCCCCATATGGCGCCAAGATCACTGCAGGGTACAGGGGGTGTGGAAAAGCCAGGAGTTAGGAGGACAGGAACAAGAGAGTGTCTTCTGGGTTTAACAGGCCTGCTTCGCTCACGAACTCAGGAGCAGTCGTGGCTGGCTGCACACGCTCAAGCCAGCGGACATGTTGTGTGGGGAAAAACCAACCCCTTGTTGATGACTTCTGGGAGATGGAGAGGTGGGTTTTTTTTTTTTTTTTTTGAGACAGTATGTCATGTAGCCCAGGCTAGCCTTGAACTTTCTCTGTAGGTGAGGATGGTCTTGAGCTTGTGATCTTCCTGCTTGTGCTGTCTAAGTGCTGGCATTATAGGTGTGTGCCACCACACCTGGTTTATGTGGTACTGGAGATAAACGCAGGATTTTGTGCAAACGCTCTGCTGACCAAGCCACGTTCCCAGACCACCCTCCCCAGACCTGCCTTATTGGAAAGTGTGTGTTTGTGATTGCTGCTGTCTCTGTGCCTTTTTCATCAGGGTTTATTTTTATGCATGTGCATGTCCATGTGTTTGTGTGAATGTATGCCTCCTGTGTACACTTGCTCACAGAGGCCAGACTAGGGCATTGGGGCCTCTGGAGCTGGAGACACAGGCACTAGGATCTGAACCCGGGGTCCTCTAGTTGAGAGCAGGGGCTGTCAGCCACGGATGCGTCTCTCCAGCCGCTGTCTGTGCGTCTTCTGGGTCTTTCTTTGCCATTCCCTAGCACATAGTAGGTAGTCAATGAGTATTTACTTGATAATTGTATACCACGGGATCGGGCCCGTCACCTACCTGCTCTTTCTCAGGCTAAATGATGCCCAGGTGGCAGCAAGAATGTGAACGTCATGTGGAATCAAACATTTGTGAACAGGAACTCCCTTCTCACAGTTCAGGGTGAAAAAAAAGGCCGTGTAGTCAGAAGCCTCCTTCTTTCTTTGCTCTCCTCATCACTGGCTCTCAGAAAACAAGGGTGCACTTGATTAGTGTGTGTGTGTGTGTGTGTGTGTGTGTGTGTGTGTGTTTGTGTTTCAATTCTTTTTCTGGGTTTTTAGAAGGAATGCTTTTCAATAATAGTGAAAATGATTCCCGGATTTTCACACACAACTCGGTGCATTACACGGTGCTGCTGCACCTTGCTTCCTACAGGGAACTCTACAACTTAGAGATCTTTTTCAGGGTCAGTGACTAGGGGTATTTTTCCATATCCTTGTACAGCTCAGTGTTTCACTGTGGAACCTGCCTCACCCTGACAGACAGGGAGGCTGTCAATGGTCCTCACCTTGACCTGTACTGTACTGCCCGTGGCTTCCTGCCCGTGTGCAGGACTGTAGGGAGGATTCCGAGACTGCAGCAACCCAGAGAGGGTGCTGAGAGCAAGATCTTCCAGTGCTGAGACGCCAGGCTCCTTTTTTCCCTCCTCGGAGAGGCCAGGCTCCTTTATCCGCACACACTCAGGCCTTGCTGACAACCGTGTGCTCAAACTTTTGCCGGTATGATGGATGAAACATGCCAAGGCATCTCTTTCACAGCGTTTGGACTTCAGAGGTCAGGCCTATGGGCCTCTTCCCCCGTTCTTCTCCCTCTAGCCCCTTTGAATCCCATGCTGTGGATCATAAACACTTGCTAACACGTGAAGTGGAACTTCCCTCAGTCGTCTGCCATCAGGACTTACAGTCAACAGCTGGCGTCTGCCGGGCTTTGGGATCTAAAGACCAGTGAGAGTCAATCTCTGAGCCAAGCTGTTGAAAATTCGAATGTAAACAGTCTTGGGTGGGGGGAGCTGGGGAGGGGCTTCCCAGGCCAGGAAGCGTTGAGCTCAGTGTGAAGGCGAAGGGAGGATTATCAACCTGGTGGGGAAGGGCTTCCCGAGAGAGAAAGTAGTGTAGAGACAGAGACCCCAAGCCCACTGCACTGGGGAGATGGCTGTTCGTGCCCATGGAAAGGACAGGAGACATTAGAGGTGAAAAGGAAAATTCAGGGGCAGTATTATTTTTGTTGAGAAAGGCTTGCACTTCATAGCCCCAGCTATTCTGGAACTCACCATGTAGACCAGGCTGGCCTTGAACTCACAGAGGCCCTCCTTGCCTCTGCCTCCTGAGTGATGGGATGAAAACTGCGGGCCGCCACGCCCCTTGATGTTACCTTTCTTAAGCGGGTCCTCGTGGGTTTCGGCCAAAGTGCAGTCAGACCTCCCCCGCGCCCGCATCCTTTCAAACTGATGAGGGGAAAAAAATCCAAGCGTGAAGGGCAACAGTCACGGGCCAGTTGCTGAGTTCTGACGCCTGTTGCTTGTTCTAGACCACTCCAGGCTCCCGCAGCCGAAGCCTCACTTTGCTCCCCCACGGAACACCCAGTTCTGCGTCTCCCTGTAGCCAGAGACACCTCAGTGCGGGCGCCCCCGGTGTTGTCTCAGTCACACATCACAAGTCGCCTGCCGCCGCCCGAAGAACCAAGAGTCAGTATCCCGGCCAGCTTCACGAAGTCAGAGAGGTAGGCCTTGCCCTTCCTGGGTTACACGCCCGCCTCCACGGGAGTCGGGGGCTGTGGCCATGGCCCTGGTGACTCCTCTCCCCTTCTGACCCCGTATGGGGCAGGAGTAACCTCCCAGCCACCCGCTTGCAGCCTTTCTTCCGGCGTGGGAGGACGGTTATGGTTATGGCAGGTCGTGGCAAGCCGTGAGGAGACCTCGATCCTTGCTCGGGAGGCAAGCAAGGCAAGTAAAGCGGGTCGAGGTGGAGCATCCGTCATGAACGTGTCCTGCGCAGAGCTAAGACGAGGCACGCATGTGCGGAGTCCCAAAACATCACGGGAAGGGCTGCCGCTCAGGAGCGGTGGTCCTGATGCTGGCATAGCTCTCCTTAGGAAGCCTCTGCTCCCTCTCTTTACTTCAGTGGGTCTGAACCTCACTCTCTACAGTTGTTGGAAGGGAATAAACAAAAAAAGCGCTATTGCCAGCCTGAGGGAGTTGTGGGGTTCACCGGGAAGCTATGCCGTGAGAGGAACAGCAGCATGTGCTGGGTTTTGTTTTTGAGGCAGTGCCAGCCTCAGACTTATCACATTGACTGAGGATGACCTTGAACTTCTGGCCTAATCTTCTTGCCTCTGCCTTGAAAGGCTGGGTTTATTGGTGTATGGGGCCGTGCTCAATTTTATGCAGTGCTGGGAATCGAACCCAAAGCTTCCTGTGTGCTAGGCGAGCGCTGGACCAACTGAACTACATCTCAGCCCCAACGCTATGTTTTATCCTTCTTGTGAGAGTCCCCCAGGAAGCTATGGGACCCTTAGTGTTCCTGTACCTTTCCCAGGGCAGCCGACTGTGCTGAGTGAGCGGAGTGGGCCCTGGTTGCCTGACTTGTGTCAGCTGCAGAGAGCTACTGCCTTGAAGCTCACTCTGGCCCAGGCCAGCGTCAGCATGCTGTCCCCTCGCTGTGGTGGTAGAGTCCTTGCTTTGTCTTGTGGTAGGATAGGCCACCCCCTCAGACATTTGAGGCGTGCACAGTGCTTTACTTTGTGAACTTCAGAAGCCACGTGGTATTCTGATCTCCAACTGCCTCAGTCTGACTCGGGTCAAAATCTTCAGCATCAGATTTGTATGTTTGTAAGAAAGTCTTTCTTCTTTAAAAAAAAAAATAGGTTTTATGTACATATATTCTCATATTGCCCCCAAAAGGAAAGAACAGAGTTGGAATTCTATTTAAAAATATTTTTAGATGTATTTTATGTGTATGGTTGTTTTGCTTACATGTATGTATGTGCTCCATGTGTGTGCAGTGCCCATGGAGGCCAGAAGGGGGCGTCAGACCAACTGGAATTATAGGCCATTGTGAACTGCCATGTAGGCAGTGGGACCTGTCCTTGGGTCCTCCACAGGAGGGATCTCTCCAGCCCTTAGGACTTTAATTGTCAGAGAGAATGCTCACTGTCTTGATGTGTAGTAAAAGCGTCTTTTAGCTTAATTGTATTATTACATTGGTCGATATAATAGATAGCATGTCTATTTGTTCATTTTTTTTCATAGATCCTTTTCAATATACTGTCACAGAAAAGGGTGGAAGCTTCCAAATTTATGCCAAATAGAACAATATGCTGCTCCAAGGTTTTGTACCACGAGTGTGTGTGTGTGTGTGTGTGTGTGTGTGTGTGCATGTGTGCATAAGTGTGTGGTGTTTATAGGGTCTCATATAACCCAGGCTAGCTGGAACTTAATTTGTAGCTGGGATAACCTTGAGTTTTAGGTCCTCTGGTCTGAGATGTAGGCATGTGCCATTACCTCTGGCTTATTTGTTTCTGGGGATAGAGCCCAGGTTTCATGCATGCTGGCCAAGCCCTCTGCCAACAAAGTAGCATCCCCAGACCTCCTCAACGTGTTTTTAAATTTGTGATAAAGAATTTTTTGAACAGAGATTGAACCAGCGTCCATGGGCTAGACACCCAGATTGTAGGCTAGAGAATGTTTAAGGCAGGTTCAACATTGTATTGCTTTGTTTCCAACAGTGAATCTGTCAGTATCTCCTGTTAGAATTTTTGTAGTGTGTGCATTAGTTACTTTTTTTTTTTTATGACTGAGCTTAAAATAGCACAACCAAAACAAAATTATAAAGATTTTATTTTGGTTTAGGATTTCATAGATCTGATATCCATAATGGCCTGAAAGGCATAGCTTGGGGTGGCAGGATCAGGAAGAGAGCCGATCATATTTCTATCCACACATAGGAAGAGGGGAGAATGGGGTGGGGAGGAGAGGAAGGTATATATTCTATCATATGAGAGAGAGAAGGATAGGGGGAGAAGAAAAGAGTTGCAAAAAGAAGTGAAGTGAAGAGAAGAGAAGAGAGAGGAGAAGAGAGGCTAGGCGCTGGTGGCACACACTTTTAATCCCAGCACTCAGGAGGCAGAGGCAGGTAGACCTCTGAGTTTAAGGCCAGCCTGGTCTACAGAGTGAGTTCTAGGACAGGGCTACACAGACAAACCCTGTCTCAAACAAACAAATAAACAAACACAAATAGACAAACAACCCTCTCTCCCCCCACAAAAAATAAAACCACAAAAAACAAGAAGAGAGAAGGAGGGGATAAGGGGTGAGGCAGGATTATAAGCCTTCAAAGGGCATCTTCAGTGATGGCTTCCTTAGCAAGATCTAAAGGTTCCATAACCTTCCCATCATCAATGGTGACCAAACGTTTAAATTCATGAGCCTCTGAGAGACATCTCTCACTCAGGCCATCAAAGCATATAACAGTATTGCCTTATTTTCATGTAGAACATGCCGAAACGTATTTTGCAGGTCCTTTGAGCCTCTAACCTTGAATCAGGAATGGGGCATAACACATGCCTGTAATCCCATCATTGGGGAAGTCCAAGCATGAAGATGGTAAATTCCAATCCAGCTTTAGTAACATAGTGAGAGCTTGTCTCAAAAAAAAAAGTAAAAGAAACAAATAAATAAGTAATAAATAAATAGAACATAATTTAAATTGCAGGTGAAATATATGTGTGTATGTGTATGTGTGTCTATGTGTGTATGTGTGTGTGTGTGTTTGTGCATGGGAGTGCAGTGCCAGAAGGTGCCAGAAGAGGGCATCTGATCTGAATCTCTAGTTATAGGGGTTGTGCTAGGAACCAAACTCAGGTCATCTGAAAGAACAGAGGACTTAAGCCACTCTTAATCCCCATGCCAGCTCCCCCCAACCCCAAAATTAATTTTAAGATGGAGCTTATGGTTATAGCGCCAGCCTTCAGGAGGATGAACCCCAAGGATGAGCTCAAGGTGAGGTACATAGTGAGTGCCAGCCAAACCAAGGCTACGTAGGGAGACCCCGCCTCAGAACACAAATACAGCAGCAACAAAGGCTGTTGAGGTATAAATGCTAATTATGGCAGCTGAGAAAGTTTTAGGGCATGGAGGGCTCCAGGGCCGTTTGAAAGCTTCACGTCCTGGCAATCATGGTCCCCATTACTCCTGACTGGAAAGAAGGCCATTCTATAGCATCTGCTGGCTTGTGATGCCATCAGATCCGCCATGAAAACTATCCAAGCGCATCTCACTCACTAATTCTCGACTGTAAAGGCCTTTGCTTTTTAAATTATGCTGAGTTTATCTCTAATGTAGCTGGAAGAAAATGGAATAGGGTTTTAACCCAGCTGTACAGGGAAGATAAACTTCTGACCACTGATGGAATGGGAAAAAAAATGGTCAGACATAAGACAGATGTGCCCGAATATCAGAAGAATAAGAAAAATAACCCAGCCAAAGGCAATGGAATAAATATTAAATGGAATGTCACAGTAAGGGTGAAAATAATGGGGCACTTTAAAAGATTAAGTGGTAATAATCTAAAATATAAAGAATTGAAATACCAGAGGTCAGTGCCCAGCATTCTCACAGAACGGCACTAGGAGAGACGGGTGTGGGGGACTCAAGATGTGACGCTGCCCTAAAGGACAGGCGTGTTCTCAGCGGCAGCTTGAGAAATGAAAAGTAAGGTGACTTTTCTGGGGAGGCGTCTGCTGCTCTAGCAGGTGATGGGTGATGGAGAGCAGGGCCTGAAAGCGAGGTGGAGTGAAGGCTCAGGCGACGGCTTTACTGAGAGGATCCGACAGCTTGTACTCTGAGGGTTCCGAAGTCTGGTAAGGCGTACAGCCACAAGGACAAGCCCCACATGGCCAGAGCATGCTTTTCCATGTGAATAACCACAGCCCAGGTAAACTCCCTCTTATCTCTGAGGATAAGAGGGGGGAGCACGGAAGCAGATCCCAGCACCAATTCTGTGTTTTGAAGAAACTGAGGTCTCAAGACTCTGATCTTGTTTTCTTGGAGTGTTCTCACAAGCACTCAGAAGTCCCTTTGCATGACTCCATTCTTGGGCCGTGTTCCCAGGAAGATTTCAGCTGCCTCCGGTTGGGGTGGCCAGAAGTACTGGTTTCGTGGCTTATTGCATCAGGCAATGTGGAGATGCGTGTTTAAAAAGGGCGCGGGACGGCTCAGTCAACCTCAGTCAACGAGGTGCTTGCCGTGGGGACCCACATAAAAATGCCACGTGTGACAACGTGTGCTTGTAGTTCTGGGGGACAGAACAAGTGGATCCTGGGGTGGGGTCGGGGGCTGGCCAGCCAGTCTAACGTCATCAGCGAGTGCCAGGGTCGGCAAGAGACCTTGTGCCAGAAACGATGGTGGTGAGGCGACTTAGGGCGGCATCTGGATGTCAGCCTCTGCCCTCCACATGTACCCACATGGCGAATGTGCTCCCCCAGCTAAACACAAAATAAAAAGCCATGTCTTTCCATGGAGCTGGGAACTCTGTCCATGAAATATATCCATGGGGTTGGGGGCAGGGAAAATAAAGTTTATCAGGATATAGATCTATTCTTGAGGTCATATATTATGTTAGAACACGATGCACACAGATAAATGTAAAATACTTTAAGAAAACAGAAGAAAGGATAGACAATAGTTTATTTGATGTACTGAATTTGTAACTGTCTCAGATAAA